CCCCAAAACCCCAAAACCCCAAAACCCCAAAACCCCAAAACCCCAAAACCCCGTGACTTCACAAGAATTTATAATAATTACTTTCTAAATAAAGTTACTTTGGTTTTTTAGCATCAAGAGCAGATGCTGAAGTCTTGGCAAGTTCCTTCAACTTGAGTGCATCTTGGAAAGACTTTACATAGACTTCCTTGCCTTCACCCCTGATAGCTCCATCTCCAGATTCCTCAGGAATTTGGACTACATAGACCTTACTAGGGAGGATTTTATATTTTTTCTTTTGGTCCCAGTTCCATTTATACACTTGCGACTTGTCTAATTTGAGATCTCTTGAGATCCTATCTACGTCGTCGTTAGTCCAGTGGGCATTTTTGGAAAATTCCTCTTCAAGTTTCTTGATCTGGGTCTTGTTCTTTCTCTTTCTTTTAGATTTCTTGTCCTTCTCCTTGTTGTCCTCTGACTTGACTGTGATTCTTGGAATGGAAGTAGGGCTCTGGGCATCATTGAAATCATTTCCTTGGAAATTCATCCTATTAGAAGGACTCATTATACCAGGTCTAGCTGTGTTAGGAACTACCGCCCAGTTTTTATCATAATTCAGGTTTACATTCCTTCTATCAGCAGGCAAATTCTGTTTGCAGCATGGACAGACTCCAGGCATGGTAGCAGTATAGGCAGCCTGTGCAAAGTTGAGCTCCTGGTTTTCATTAGGAGTGTTGTCTTCAAACCTTCTCTGTCTCTTGAAAGGACTAGTATTTTTCCTGTACGAGTTGCTCCAGCTATATCATGAATTATAAAATTTGTAGAGGTACAAATTTAAATTATGGTAAAGCCTTACTCTTCATCCCTGAATACATTCATCTGATTTATTGGAGTTCCCTGCAACTGGTTCTTGTTCATCATGTCTATACAGGATTATTAGATTATGGTCTTATTGCTAAACTAGTGCTGACATGAACAGCAGAATTTCAATAATAGGATATTAGCAAGATTTCCAAAAGCTCACCCAAATTAATGGTTTATAACCCTATTGATTCTTGGAAGAAGCCATAAGCAAATAAGTGTTGGCCTGAAATTTTAGAGACTCCAATTTTCTCATTGTGGCTAGTAAAGTTACAAACTTGAGAAGTTTTATTTGTTATAGGCTCAATCTTGATTGTATTAGATTTTGTTATGCCTAAGAAGACTCCCAAATTGGAAAAGTAATTTAGGAGATTTAGCATAGGAAGTTGTTGGCTCAGAGATCAAGCATAGAGCTTGATAGACTTATCTAAATAATAAAACTCTGTACTCAATAAGTCGAGATTCTTTCCAACAAATATCTTATCTTATTGACTTACTGAAAGCAAGAAATTTGGAACCAAAGTCATCTCCTTGAGGAAGCCCAGCCATTCCTTTTGATCCATCGTCCTCTTGCTTAAATACAAAAGGGTTCATTGGGGTCTTGAATCCAGGGATGCTTAGGTTGGTATTTGGACTGTTATCAAACTTGTTGTTGCTCCTAGGAGTCTTATTGTCAAAGGGTATGTTCAAATTATTCATATTTATTACAATTTTATTATTTTCATCCCTTAACTAAATTTAGGGGTTTTGGGGTTTTGGGGTTTTGGGGTTTTGGGG